ATAAAACCATCAACTAAAAACACTAATGAGTTATGGTACAAAATTTAGACCAGTCAGAAACATGACTACAAATTACTGTTACAAGACTTTCGAAAACAACATCAACGAATTTATAGTTAAAGCAAGCTATCAACTGAATTTACCCATAGATACTTTAAAAATGGAAAGCTAAAATTCTTCAATGCATATCCACAGAAATCAGTCACCTCAAATTTAAAAGCACACTGAATTGGTCGCAACTTACATCAGATATTAGTAATTAAACAGCTTTTTACTATTACAAAAAATAGATAAAGCAACTAATACTTTAGCATTATATGAAAACAAACTCTACACTGAGATTATTCATAAAGACTTCTCAACGCAACTACTTATCAATTAGCCAACCTTACAGAAACATCTATAATAAACAGGATTAAAACTTTCATAAGAAACTCAATATTACTTTCAATGCAAACTACAACAGATTTACTAATCTTTATGCGATTCCCAAATTCCATAAAACACCATTAAAATTTAGATTTATAGCTAATGGAAGTAATAATTACAAGAAAAATATAGACTATTATTTTTTAGTTCAACTTAATAAAATCTGTAAATTTATTTTCAATGATTGTAACACTAATCATAACTATTGCTGGATCATTCATAATAACACTCCTGTCATTAATACCATTCATACCATTAACATCCAAAACATTAACTGCTATGATTTTGAAAACTTATATACCTCACTTCCTCTAGAAGAAATCTATACCAGTCTACTTGATCTACCTAAACTTTTCCCTAATATGCTCAATATCATGACTCTTGACAAATGGAAAACCTACCTAAAATGCACACTTTTTCATAACTACATCAAGTTTCAAAATCAACTTTTTAAACAAGTCAGAGGATTGCCAATGGGCTTACATTCCAGCACCTCGATCTGTAATATCTTTTTATTTGTCAAAGAATTTAACTTCCAAAAAAATCTACAACCACAAGAGTTAAATTACTACAAACACACCTACAGATATATTGATGACCTTATTACAATTAATAATTTTAGTAAAATTGAAAACTCCGACATTTATCCGAATTGTCTTAAACTTAATAAAACTAATAATTCACAAAATAGCATAGACTTTCTAGATCTTCAAATCATTAACTACAAGAAAATTTTACTTTTTGACAAAACAAGAAACTTCAATTTCAATACTAACAAATTAATAAATTGGAACTCCAACATATCCAAAAAAGTAATTAACAATACTATAATTAATCAAATACAACGAATTAAAACTATATGCACAGATACAATAGATTTACAATGCGAAATTTTGATCCTTATCAAAATTCTCAAAAATAATCTAATTCCCTTTCAATTTATCAACCATTGCCTTAAAAGAGCAGGCATTAAATACTCACTCTAAATCATTTAACTGATAGGGATATGATAATTTATTCCTAAACCTCAGAAGGTAGTATAAGTTGGATGACTGTCAGTTGAAAGATTTGTATACAGTGTAATTACTCAATTGTATATATTGTAAAAAGCTAATTGTCTTCAGACATATACTGTTACTAAAAAAACGGGCCTATTTCCTGCCTTTAGACTGTCTATTAGCTCTTGGACAGTGAAAATGCCCTTTTTCCTTTCTTAAATTATTAATCATTGCAACACGACAATTAGCCAAAAATTAATTAATTTCCATTCACTAGTATTTTCAAAAAAATCTTAACAGACGGTCTCTCTCAGATAAGAACTCCACAAAATACATCCCTCAAGAATTCCAAGTCCCACCCACTACCATAAATTACTTCACCCAAGTCTTACCGACTGATATTATTCAAAGCCCCTACTGCCGCTAAGGAATTTTCGGACACCCTACACTTCTGAGTCAGACATGAAGAGAAGACTTTGCCAACTCCCCCACTAAAAAGAATGTAAGTTACTTAATATCTTTCTGGCCTTTATATCTTCATGTACATTCACTGATCTTATTTATATTATTTTCTATATTATTTTTATATTATTTTTATGTTTTCTTTGATTTGTTTTTACAAAGTTTGCATTATTTATCTTTTTTATAATCTTCTATGTTTATTTCAACTTTACTTTGAATTCGATTTCATAATGACAATTTCCAATGTTTAATTTCTACAAATAATATAGTACTCAAATACATAAAGATGATAGTGTCAGCGATGGTTACTCGAGTTTTACAGGATTTCTCTACAGTAATTGAATTTTACTCCAAATTGAATTGACTAAAATGCTTCATGAGAATAAGTTCTTTGAGTAGCAACTATTCGCGGAAATTTTTGGCCTGACTAGAATTGCCGGTTTGGCTTTAACTTATAACTCGAGTAAGTAAAGACCAAAACACTTTCATATTTACGTATTTTATCAATTATTGTTCATTGAACGGGAATTGGTTTGTTCCCCTTGAAAAGTCAACTAATTTCCGATCAATGACAATAATTACATGTTTTAATTTTTCCTTTTACAATTGATATATTATTCTTCGTGATGATTTTAACTCCAGTCCCCGTTAAAACATTATTAACATTTTGCTTTCAAATTACTTCAAAACATCTTTCAAAATATAACTTACCAGTATGGATGCACACTTTAAAATAATTCTACTTTAATTAAACTTAGGAGATAATATAATCAATTAATCAATACTGTTTAGGAAATAAATTATTATTAACTAACTTTGCAGCAATTGCGCAAGTAATAATAAATTGTATTCGCACTAATGGATTTAAGTTCATACAACATATATATATATATATATATATATATATATATATAAAAGTAAAAAAGTAAAAAGCAAATTTAAATTCTAAAAAAAAGAAAAAAGCAAAAATAATTTAAAAATATGCAAACATGTAAAAGATTTAATTCTTGAACTAATCTACAATATCATTTAAAAAATTTAAAAATATGCAAACATGTAAAAGATTTAATTTTGAACTAATCTAGTTCGAGAATTCAATCTTTTACATGTTTTCATATTTTAAAATTATTTTAAATTATTTTGGCTTTTTTCTTTTTTTAGAATTTAAATTTGCTTTTTTACTTTTTTACTTTTATACGTATTTGTTTAAGAATTTAAATTTGTTTAAATTTAAATTCATTCCTTGCAGCAATGGCACAAAAGATATTTAATTAAATATGTATTTAAATTTAATTTTTTAAAATTAAACTCAATTTATTCTTATGAAACAATATATATATATATATACCTATATCTAATATAATACATCACTTTTTCCACAAACAGAATACTTTTCAAGAATCTACACAATGGTACTTTGAGGACTTAATATAATAGTGTATGATCTGAGGATGGCAAAGCTCATGACTGATTAGCTAGAAGCTGGCAAGCCTCAAACAACTATAAGGCTCTTTCCACTGCCTAAGGCAAAGTTCACAAAATTCCCTTCTACTTAACATTAACTATCTTATACAAACCTTATGCTATACTCCTACCCTCCTTCAGTGAGTCTTTTCAACACACAGACAATGTACTCCAGATTCCTGATAGCAGATGAAAATATGGGCACTGCTGGGAATCCATAAAATCCAATTAAGGTGTGAAAAATTCTCTCTTCATGGACATGTACTCTGCCAGCTCAGCTGGGAATCCACAAAATCCTGGTAAGGTGCAAAAAATTCTCTTCATGGACAGGTACTCTGCCAGCTAACTGAGCTATCAGGAGCCAATAACCAGCTTTTGATAACTTTAAGAAAAATTGTAAATTATGTAACTTTTCTGTGACTAGTTGATACAATCATTGCATGACTAAATACATCTACTAAAATGCTTCTTTTTATCTGCAACAACAGATGTCCCAGCTAAGTGCTGTTAAGCATGGGAAGACACCCTGCAACTTCAAAAGCTCTACATTAATTAGGAGCACCATTTTGAAGATTGAGCCTTAGCTGGGAATTTAAGCCATGTTATCTCTCCCAAGGGCAAACACATTTACTAGATGAGCTATCCAAAGCCATTGTTTAACCATAATATTTACATTTTTGTCATGAGCATATTCCTTTCCCAGCTGCAGGGAATTAAAATTCTATTACATGCAAACAATGCCCCTGCATTTATTATTACCAATGTCAAATAGCAATTACAATATCATTTATCAGTCAAGGCTGAATTAATACCCCTGTCAAATGATGGCCCCACTGCACTACTCATTCTTCAAGCAGCAGTGAAAATGGCTGGCTATTACCACAACATAACACCAGTTATATTGGGGATGGTAACACTCATGTGGTCTATCAATTTCAATGTGAGCTTGGCAAATTGTGTTTGGGAAACTTCCTTAAGGTACCATAAGAAACTACAAAACTGTGAATGTGAAACTACAGAATCAGAACTCCTGAAGTATGTGAGAACAATGAAACATACATTCAGTAATCCAACTCTTCAAGCTGAAAAAAATAAGCAAAAGAAAATGGTATGTCATCTATGCAGAATGTGCTGAGTCAAAATTAGTTATGATTGTAGTCACATCCTGTAAAAAAATGAAGTCACTATTCAGATATGTGCATATATTTCAAAATTCAGTACTTTTTCGGCCAAAACTGCAACATTTGCTCAACAAATTATTAGACTGCTCTAATAATGCTGTCAATTTGCTTTACTTATCACTTAGCTTAAAAAAAGTTTTAATGTATCTAATATTTCTGGTTCATGGTTATTACATAAAAGCTTCAGCAAATCTAAATTTATTACATGCAGTATGTAGCTGAATGCAACCAAACAACAATTCAGAAGTACTGACATCAAGAGACAAGCAAGGACAGAATCTAGCTTGATGCAAAAAAGACAATTACATACTCTAAACTTAATTAAAAAGTTATTTAAATTACAAAGTTGCTCTGCATTTCACAGAACAATTTTCATTAAATGATTGATGGCTGATGGCTGATTAAGTTAGGCTTCATAATTTAGAAATTAAAAATTACAAACTGAATGAGTTTTAAACACCGATACCATATGCATCATTTGTCATAGGACCATCTTCCTCCTCCTCATCATCCTCCATAGCATCCAGTAAAGGAGTAAATGCATACCTAAAATTGAAGAAGTTATAATCTTTTGCACTTACATATATATTAACACAATGTAACTAAAAAGAAATTCAAATCCAACTACCGACATTAAAATAATATGTTCTCTCACACACTGATGGAGAAAAGTTTTTAAACTGCATAGAAGTAATCTGTATTTTAATTTATATTAAGCAGAAAATTAATTTAGCTCACCTTTGATTATTATTTGTTGGTCGCCAGAGTATCATTATTACAAAAAGAATAGTAGAAAACAGAAAATGCCAATATGCCTCATCAACCCATAATTCTTTCCAATCCTACAAATTAGTCTTAAAATTAATTAGATAATGTTATTAGTACAAAAAAAAACTATAAGGACTTGAAAAGTCTGATAAATCTGAACTTACAGTAATACAGTTCACTAACTTATGTGCATGAATGGACCAGGTCATAAAAGCAACAGATCCTGGAAATTAAGGAAACAGGTTTTAAAATCGTATACAAACTTTTAAGTGTGAACTTAAGGATAAGTACAGGATATTTACCTATAACAGAGAGCAAAAGAGTATTTGTAAAATGCCTATATAACTGCAGTTTCACAATGTTTCTTCTTAATCGTAAAGTTCTAATAGTCTGAACCAGACTACTAAATATTTATTAAAAATTAAGGCAAATGTATGTGAAAATAAGATACACTGATATCAAATGTATTTTGCACAACATTATAGAAATCTGAAATACACTTTTCAAAAATGAAAATCATACACAACAGACAGCAATGAGATGATAAGAATACAATCAACTTTACAAACAGAAAACATAAATTTCAAACTGGAAATTACTTATGAAAAAAAAGTTGCTTTACCCTATACCAAATTAACAACAAAACTGATACATGTTTTTGAAAACTTTAAAATTATAGTGTACACTAAAATAAATACTCTGTGATACACACATAGAAAAAAATTCATGCACCTCAAAAAATATTCAATTAGGATGAAATGGTGCAGTAATGAAAAGACACAGATCATGTTATTAAAACTGTATACCAATCATTCTGTTTATTTAACAAACATAATAATCATTAAATACAATTACAATGCAAAGCCATCTCGCCTCTGATGCTAATGTACAAAGGCACTCGGTCTGGCATGTATACTTTCAAACAAAGATTACTCCCCTGTGAAACTTCTTATCAGATACAGCAGCAATTCGCTTACTTACTGATATGGATGCAACTAGTCCCATATGTACTTGACTAAAAAGAAGTCTGGAGGACAGCACAGCACTATGACAATAAACAACTGCTGGTAACATTTGCTGTTTTGGGGCTAGACATTATTTTCTAAAAGTTGGACTCCAGCAAACACATCACCATTTGAAGGGAAATAGATCACAAGGTGTCAGGGACGTATCACTGGGCTGTTAATATGCACAAATGATCATGAAAGGTGATCGCTTGATGCAAGATACGACTTTCTAAATGGTAATGCTCAGTGAATGTGATAAATATAAGCAATTCCACACCCATGTCAGATGAAAAGTTTCGGTAGAGCTTTCTCCGAATCCTATAAACTCTCCAGTCATTTAAACTATGCAAAAATCAATTCATTGCAGAGCAACCTATATTGATAACATAAACCCAGTCTTTCTGTAACAGAATGCTCAGGTATAAAATATTAAGGAAAATCAGATGTGTGTCAATACATTTCAGATAACAAAGCTATCAAAGTGTTTTTTATAATACTTGATATCAAATTATCTTCCCCTTGTGTGATTTATATTTACTCTGTAAAAACCCCTTGTATCCCCATCAATGGCATCACCATGTGCAATTGTTCCAATCTGTATCAATCACTTGCTTTTTCTTGGTTGACAATAATAATGACATCCATCAACTCACTTTATATGGTGCACTGTCAACCAGAGGATGTTCTGACATTCTGAACTGCTAATAAGCAGTCGACAATTTATACAAGGCTAGCCAAAAAATAAGTTTCCCACTTCATAGGGCTCTAGAATGTGTTCTATTGATCAAAATGAGATAAAATTTGAACTACCAATAATTAAAATGATGCACTTGGTATTTATTAAATGAAACATTTTAGTACAAAAATCCGATGATAGGCGGTGCTGTAATACACACAAAAAACATTTAATATGCTTTATAAATGTTAACTAATATCAAAAAGTACCATTAAGTGACCAATATGTCATGCTGTTGAAGTTGTGGGATAGCAAAATCCCTCAGCATATCACAATACCATTGTCTTGAGATGGAAGAGGTTTGTATTCCATTTGCAATTATCTCTTCAAAAAATACGGTCAAGTGGTAAAGGTAGTTGTAAAATCACACCATACTCTCACGTTTTCAGGATACAAGGATTGTTCTTGGATAGAGTGAGTTTTCCTGCAGCCCAAATTTGACAACTGTGAGAGTTAATTTGCCCATTGAAGCAAAAGTGGCTTTGTCAGTCCACAGAATGTTCCATGGCCAAGTGACATCATCAACCACCATTCAAGCAAGAAACTGAAGTGCAAATTTTTACAAACCTATAAGTCTTGTCCTCCTGTAGGTGCACAAGCTTGATTTTGAAAGGAAAAATATACAAAATCCATTGTAAGATTCTGCATACAGTGGACTATGGAATATCCAGTACACTGGAAATAAATAGCACATTAACTACCCTGTGATGATTGACTGCTGACTTCAATGACCATGGTACCTGCATTTTCAATGCTAGAAGACAGGATCTGCTTTCTTCTCTGCCTTGATGAGTGTCAAGTTGCCCAGGTGTTTCAAATTCCTTTATCATCTTGAGTAAGGCACATGGAGACATTGGACCTTTTCACATCTGCTTCACACGATGGAATTCTTTTACAGATGCACAGGTGTTCTGCTGACTCTGGTAAAACAATTTTACCAGTAGCAGTTTCTCTTGCAACATAAGCATGGAATGCAGAGAAGTAACTAATGCTCATGCAGAATATGCTTTCTTTTTACCTAAAGAATAATGCTAATAGACATGCGCTGTAACCTAATGATGTTTCATATTTTCAATATATGCAAATAAATACCATTTGTGTGATCGATGGATTTTTATAATAAAGTATTTTATTTAATAAATTTCAAGTGCATTATTTGAATTATTCTGTAGTTTAAATTTTATCTCACTTGGACCAATAGAACACATCCTAGAATCCTCTGAAGTGGGAAACTTATTTCTTGTTAACTTTGAATAACAGGTATCTCCATCACCAAAACAATCATGTCATCCCTCCAATCTGTATACAATAATTTATCAATATCAGCAACTCATTTCAACTGATGACATGCTCTCAATTAAAAGAAAACTAAAGCTCTTGTCTGATCTAGTAGATTTTGTGCATTCAATGACAAGTATTTTCCACAAATTAGATGCATGACTAAAATATTTTATGATTAAGCTTCACTATTCTGGAAAAATTTTTCGAGATGCACAGATTTTTAAAAAAAAGTACACATTATATATTTAAATACATAAATTAAAGGATATCCACCAACAGATGGCACTATCAGTTACAGCAAGAGGTATCCCTGCCATTAAAGCCTGGTTGCCAGGATCAGTTTTGGGCTAGAATAAAAATTGCACACGTATTTTGAGCATGCATGTATTTTCCAGTTTGTAAAGAAAACTATCTCTACAGTAAATATTAAACTAATATAACAAAAGAAAATAATATTTTAAAACATACATTATCATAAATGCAGTATTATGCTAAATCTATTTACATATTCTTATATTTAATATTTATCATAATTTGTTTTCATGTTTCCGCTTTCACTTTTGAATACATAAAATTAACAAAGCCCCAATTTTGTGTCTAGCAGAGACTCGGTCAAAAAATTGATCGGTATCAAATGCAAACAGGTACAGGTCCTTCTTAATCGGGCTGCAGGACTGGAAAGCAGCAGACGAAACGGTTGTATCCACACCCTAAGGCAGTAAAATGAATGAGAAGTTAGTGCTATTAGACGATAAAAATAGTACCGAAATTGAAAAATTAAGACAATAGAATTTTAAAAGTGTTATGAAGGACTGGATTGTACTTAAAGTCATTAACTAAACAAGATAAATCTTTGTGAATGTGAAAAGCTTCAAGAAAATCCAATTCACTATTGGAAGAAGCTTTTTGAATGATTTTTGCAAAACCAAACTCAAAACTATGATTAAATTTCCAACTATGATTAGCTATCAAAGACTTGTTAATTTCACCTTTTCGGAGATAAGATTCATGTTCCTAGATATGAAACATTAATGCTTCTTTAGTTTGGTCGATTGTATCTCAAACTACATTAAGATGATATGCCAAAAATTCCCCAAGAATTAAAGTCAGGAATGGAATCTTGAAGAATCAAACTATGCATTTTATTGATAGACAAGAAAATGACGAAAATTGAACTTCAAGAATCTGTGCAATTTTATAACTGACAGAAGGATGATATAGAAGCACAACAAGGTTATTAATGCTATTTCTAACAACAGAATGTCTTCTTTGATGAACAGCAGAAAAATTTTTTAAGGCTTTATTGATGACTGCAGGAGAAAATTCTTGGTGAATGGGAACTGAACTTAACTCTTTGAAATCCAAACCCTTCGCTAACCTGTATCCTCAAAAGACCGGACTGCACGAAATAGTTTTCCAGTTTCACAGCAATTTCCTCCCCTCCCCGTCCACTAACGCAGAAAATATGTGTGAAGATTTCCAATGACATCCTTTGTACTTTCTAACAAAGATTTCGTTAGTCTTTGACCCCGTTCTTTATAAAACTATTCTGAAGGTCAAACCAACAAGCCTTTAAGGCTTTGTTATGATCACGACTGAGATTTTGTTTATTTCCATTATTTTTATAGGAAGGAATAAATTGTTTAAAAATAAATAGAATCCTTAAATTTTTAAACTGCTCTTTTATTGCTGTTTAAAGCTTAAAAGCACACTGTACTACAAAAGAATCAACAACTAAATGTCATGAGCAAGATAATGGCAAGATAAGAATTTACTTAGGACAAGCTGTCTGCAGTAAACTGATACAATGCATTTTGGGGAAACTGCACCTGCTACTGCATACCTTAGGGGAAGGGAAGAAAACAACATTACAATCTCGGCCGTTTTCGTGTGGTTCTGGTTGTTTCAATGTAGGGCTGTGTCAGGCGGATTGGATGTGAAGGAGTTAAATAATTTAGTTCATAAGCAAACAAAGGTTCTGCAGAACAAACATCAAAACCAAGAAATACATAGCAGTAAACAGAAGCAATTTTCTGCTTAGCCGAATAACAGGCCTTAGCATGGGGCCGTAAACAAACAGAAAAGGTTTTACGGTAAACAATAATGCACGAAATAAGATTCATTGCAAGTTATAAGAATATCAAGGAAGGCAAAGGTATTGTCAGATTAAGTTTAAAAAATGAACTGGTTGGCTGGATCAATCAAAATTACGCATCCGCAAAGTTTGACTCTCAGAAGCTTTGCTTGCTAATGAATTCAATTATTTGAGATCAACTGCCACTGACTGAGGATTTTCTCCCATGGTCATTGATTAAGCCTTTACAAAATTATCAGCTTACCATCAAAGATGACAACTACTGTTAATAATAACATTAATAACCTTGCCATGCTTCCATTTCATCCTTCTGTCAGTTATAAAATTGCACAGGTTCTCCAGAACTACAATTTTCATGTAATATTTCTCATCTATCAATAAAATCCATGGTTTCATTCTTATAAGATTCCATTTCTGATTTTCAGTTTTGGGGAGTTCACAGCATATTGTTTCAGTGTGGTTTGAGATACAATCAGCCAACTAAAAGAGCATTAAAGTTTTGTATCAAGGAACCCAAATTTTATGTCCAAAAAGGTGAAATTATCTTTGACAGCCAATCATAGGTGGAAATTTAATCATAATTTTGACTTTGGGTCTGCTTCTTCCACTGATTAATTGGAATTTCTTGAAGCTTTTCACATTCACAAAGATTTATCTTTGTTTAGTAAATGACTTTAAATCCATCCAATTCAGTTCTACCTAACGTTTTTCTATTTAATTTTCCAATTTCATTACTAGTTGTGCCGACATATGGGTACTATTTCTCTTCCATTTTACTGCCATAGGGCATAAATATGACCATTGTGCCCACTGCTTTCCAGTCATGCAGATTTCTTTGCTCTTGATGAAAAGGAGCACGCATCTGTTTGCCCCTTGAACTCCACTGACTTCTTGACTAAATCTGTGCTACATACAAGGTTGTTGCTTTGCTAATTGTATGTTTCACTTTGGCATGTTTCTATTCTATTTTTAAAATAATAGATTAAAAATTCTCACAATGCACCTGATCTGCTTTCAGTCTATGAATTCTCTGAATTTCATACAGTACAAAGTGTGAAATCCGGATGTGCATCATTCGAAAAAATCTAAAAATCCAAGCTTCTGGACCACCAGGAATCTTTTCTTTTCAGTATACTAAGGCACAAATTTGAAGGTTTTCAGATTTCAAACCAAAAGCAAAATTTTTCAATTAATGGAATTTGTAAGAAACATGAATAAGCAATAAATGAAGTAAGTAAAGTAATAAATGAAGTAATAATGATAAGTAATAAATGAAGATGATGACACAAGTTTTTCATTGCAATAAACAATGCTCTAATTAATAGTCAACTAATGCCTGGTGAAATAAGTAGTACAATTATAAATCCAGAAAAAGTTGTTATCAGTAATGACGAGATTTACAGAGAGGTTGTTGTGAAGAAAAAAAAAATCAATAAGCAATATAATGGGAATTTTAAACATGGCAATTATAAGATTTGAATTATGAACTTTGCAACTGAATAAGACATTGTCTACAGAATTAAGAGAAAGTATTACAACAAAAAAGTGGCTTAAACAACTTACGTTGAAAGAAATGTTTAATAAAGCGCAAAAAAAAAAAAGAGTTTTGATTCCTTTAATGGTCATAAATGCCTCATTATTTCATAAATCAGTATTTTATACTTTTAATTTTGTAATTTATACAGGTCCATATAACTAAATTTAAACAGATGATCAATATTTGGAAAAATCCCCCAACTTAAACCCCCCAAATTCTCATAAGTCTGGATTTTGCACTGCACAAGGAAATTGTTATATCTCAAAATATGAAACTTTGTAATCCTTCACAAAGGCAGGAATAGGCTGAGAAATTAAATAACACATTTGAAACTACCTAAGACTTGTTAACAAATTCTCTTTTTTCTCTTGTCAAAGTGCAAATGAGTTGAATTTCTACTTTACAACTATGCATTTGTAAAGTGAGTAGCACAGTGAGTTGGTGATATGCTACAAAAGGAAAACAGACAGAACAATGGCCATTTTAGTACAATTTCCATTCTTTCATAAAAAGCAAATATTGGAAACATGTATGTTCTTTCTTGTGTATGCTACTGTAATACACATATAATTGAGCACTGGCCATCAAGAAATGAAATATCCGTCCACATGAGTTAAATATGTAACAAGTTACAATGTCAAAATAAATACACCCCATTTATAATAGGGGAATTTATTTGTTATATTCAAAAATAAGCTGCAAAATTATTTCAAACGAGCATTTAAAATTTCTAAAACATAGTGTAACAATGAGAAGTCCATTTCAGCAAACCCTTTTCAATTACCAGACAATTCTTGAATCCTTTAAATTTGAATTTGAAAATTGAATCCTTTTTTTCAATGACACATACTATGTTCCTAAAAATGGCATGGGGCTCTAGAGAAAAAAAGCAGGAAACCAAGGAAACTTCAAGTGCCTAGTTTCCAACTGGCTTAGGCTACTTCTCTGGTTAGTTGGTTTAAAAAAAAAATAGCAAAACAAACAAGGGCTTCTGCTTAAGATAGGGCTATCTACGAGAAAATGGATAGTATTTATGTTTTTGGTCTCTGCAGGTCTATGAAAATTATGACAGAATATCAAAAGTAGCCTTTGTAGTGTAACCAACCATTGCATTCTTCTAAAATTTTTTCACAATTTTCATGTCAAAATAGATCACAATCCTTTGCATAAATATTCATTTTCTTACAATAAATCGTATAATGTTGATACAAGTAATTGAATGTGTGGGTGGTTCGATTCATAATTTGGCTGATTATATTCAAGACATGTGAACGCAAAAGATTTACATAAGAAGAAAAACTGAAGTAAAGAACATTTTAGTAAAAGACAAACTCATGAAAACTTTCCAGAATGGTTTTCACTGAGCAGACACACACTGAGAATTATTAAAAAATAAAGAAATAAGAAAATCTAATTCCAAGGCAGTAATGAAAATGATAAAACAATAAAGCCAATGAAATTTAAATTATATTACTTTAACCCTTTTTTATTGTTTTTGTTTTTCAGATGCTAAGCCAAATTATTGGCAATAACTGAATGCAGAACTTTGAATAGCAGTAGTATGGATATGTTGGTGGATCCTTAGATGGTTACAAAAGGGACCAAAACAGTTGAAAACTTTAAAATTCCACCTTTTAAAGACATTTGCACAATATGTACAAAACAAGCTCTTTTCTTAACATAATCACTGAGTGAAATGAAAAGTTTAAATGTGAAAAAGAGATCAAAGGCAAGGTTCAAAAGAAGGGGTGATAATGATGTTACTCTACCAAGAAAGATATCACATTCCCATTCAACTGACGATCTCCAATTTAAGTCTTGGTTCCATGAATGAATGGTAGGTTTAACTATAAATTACAGTAAAAATAATATTTGGAATATGTTCATAGTTTCATACTTATTAATTATAGTAAAAATAATATTTGGAATGTGTTCATAGTTTCATACTTAATAAAACATTAAAATGCTTTTAAGAATACAAACGAAAAAAAAAAGTGTGGGGAAAAAGATTATATCATTAGCAAATATTATACAACATGAAAAAATTTTTCTGTTAAAATTCTGATTTTCACTTTTGTATGGCACATTAACATGTTAAATCAGCTTGCAAGTCTGATAACACCTAAATTTTTAACTTGGCATGTCATCAAGAAATACCTTCAGTAGCAGTTTCTCATCAGAGCTACAATATTAATGCAACATTCTCTTAACTAACCTATGGTTTTTACCAGTTTAAATCATATAGTTATCTCATTTAATTTTAATATAAAAAATGTAATGACACCGAATTATCATTAGATTCATTACATCTGAAAGACTATAAAAATTCAACAAAACAGCATAATACATGGATTACATAAAAAATTTACTTTTTCAGCCCACTAAAAACTCAAAGGTGAAAAAATATTTATGGTAATCTGTGGGTGTAAAATATTCACACCCACAAATTAGGAAACATACACTGCAAAAATAAATCATAAATATGGGTTTATAATAACAATATGTATTTTAACTTTAATAAAATAAGAATGAGGCAGTGTTACCTTTAATACTCGTAAACAACCTTCTATTGTGCCTAGACAGAAATATAATGCACCAACACCAATAATTCGATGCAACAAAGGACCAAGACGTGGCCTATAAATATTCCAAAAAGAAATATGCATCTAGATGAAACAAGAATCATGTGGAATTCCCCCCCCCACACAAATGATAACTATACATACTTGACAATTCCAAATCCAAGGCTTACAATAATTATTAGCATTCTTGCTAATGTTCTTTTCATGCATGATAGTATCTCTGCAAACAATATAGCTCCTTGAACTGCAAGTCATTGAAAACACCATATTAATGAATGCATTTACAAAAAAATATTTTTGTACTTTTAAATTCAAAATTTTATACATATATCAATATCATTAAAGGCAGGACAAAGAGGTAAATTTACAGAGATTCATTTAATTTTTTAAACCGAATTGTTTATTTTAGAACCAAAAGACAAGATTAAAATCTTTTCAAACATATTATTTTTTAAAAAGTAAAATTAAAAAGTAATAACTGAAATCTTAACCAAAGAATCTACGAAGATATAGAAAAAGTAGAATCATAAGAGATACATTTTAAAACTACTGATGCATGTTTTCACGTCTTGTTATCACGTCACGTTTAATCATCAAGAACATGTTCATTACACAATCCTACAGTTCAGATATAATATTAAGGTCATTTTTTATGTTTTCTAATTATGAACTATATATACAGTACAAAGTCCGTAATCCGGACTCGTTGGGACTTAAGCGATTCCAGATTAGGGGTTTTTCTGGATTATAGATAATCAATTTAAATCTGGTAAGATGGCATGCAGAAATTATACAATTAAAAATATGAAACTGTAATTTATGAAATAAAGAGCAATTATGATCTAAAGGGTATCAAAATTTACAAAAAAAAAAAAAAAAAAAAAAAAAAAAAAAAAAAAAAGAAAAAAGAAAGAAAACTTAATATTTATTTGTTTACTTTATTAAACATTTCTTTCAATGTAAGTTGTTTAAGTTGCTTCATTTTTTGTGCTAATACTTTCTCTTTAATTCTATAAACAGATATAATTTCTTGTTCAATTACAAAGTTCCACCTTTCGGAAGCGGTATTTTCTGGATATAGAACCATACTACAGATTTCACCGTCCGTTAATTGATTGATGATTAGGGCATTGTCTTCACAATGAAAAACTTCTGTTATATCATCTTCATTTATTACCACTTCTCCAAATTTCTTTACAAAATCCAATAACTGGAAAACTTCACCTTTAGTTTGTGATGTCCGAAAACTTTCAAATTCATGGCTATCATCTTCATTGTCCTCACAATGAAATATGGCAGCTGACCATAAATTATGCCAAGCATTTTTTAATGTATCTGGAGACACATCCCCCCAACGTGCATGCTTAAACATGCATTAACGCGCATGCGTAAAGCATACCAAAAAAAAAGGTTGTGCCTTTGAGGTCCAGATTATAGATCATTCTGGATAATGGACGTCCAGATTACGGACTTTGTACTGTACTATAGAAACACTGCTTTGCAAAATCATGCAGAAATTTTATAAAGCTTTTATAGAATGATATTCTGTAAAAATTTGCAGTTTTCATACTGTATTCAAAGCAAATTTTTAGTTTCCAATGTAGTGTATTGAATATAGAAAAACAGAAGTAAACAATTTTTTCATAAGTGTTGAAACTTTATTGAATGATTTTACACTTACAAGTTTTTCCCCCTTAGCTTAATGTTTTTAGCTTCAAATTTATGTAACGTGTTGTATAATTTTCAGCACAATACTGCTTGTATAATACAAAAATTAAATTTTGTAAAAGCATAAAAACAACTTAAATTTCAAAATTAGCTAAAAGAATAAATTTATGCTGTTATTTATAAAATTGTAACTTTTGAAATTAATGCATTTAATTATTTTATACGTATCCTCAGATAAGAAATTTTTTAAAATTAACTATTATTTAAAATTCAATTTTTTTTAAAGTAGTTAAGTTTAATTTTTTTAAATCAAAGCAATAGTGAGAATTTTTATTGGGGAGGGGGTACCTACCCAAAAGTTTTATCCCCCCCATGTCACAGATAATTTCAAATATTTGTTTAACAACTTCTAAAAAAAATCATTTTATAATGTTTTTGAACACTCAAAGGCTTTTAAAGGTTCTTTTATAGAAAACTCAAGCAAGGAACCTTATTTAGAACACTTTAGAATTATAGCCCAATATTTAAAGAAACAAAACCTCATATTTTCAGTAATATTCTGCTCATTGATTCTATACATATAAGATCCTATATGTAGAAAATATACAGAATATATATAGTGCATTAGAAAATTCATACACATTTTGAACTATCATAGAATATTTATTTTCCTACCTATAAGGATAAATTTCTAAAGGAAAGTAATGTTCCTTTTGCCTGTTTCCTCAACGGGTGCCTCCTGTTGGGGACTTGGGGTCTTTTTCTAAAGTTACTGTAACTAGAGAAAAGTACCTAACAATACTTGCTGATTCCATTTTCTTATCAGAATCGGACATGAATTAGTGTCAGTCAGCTGTTATAGTGTCACACATAAAAACCGATACCCCTACCCCAAGGAAAGGGAAAACTGCAACAATTTTTTTTCCTCAGAGAATGTCTTTATTGCAGAAAGAAGTTACGAGATCTAGTGGTTGTTAGAAAAATATAGTATGAAACTGTGGCTGTTTATTTTATTTCGATTATTTGTGATATTATATTTCGTATTGCTGAATTGGTTTCCACATAAATGATTCACTATTTAAAGGAAAATATTATCAGTTTAAAAATTTAGTGAAATTAACTAAATTAATTATAACAAACCTCAATTAGAGAGTTCATACTTTAACTAAACTTAAGGGTAAATTTAAGGTAGTATTAAGTATAAGAAATTAGGTTTTCCTTATTTAAACTTTTAAAGATTGAAGTTTATTTAAAATCAAACCATGGTTTTTATGGGACATGGAAAAAAGGATTTGTTAGTGTTAGCTGCTGAAGTAAAAATTCAAGTAGATCCAAGTATGAATATTATAGCAATAACAAATAAAACAGTTCAAAGTGAATGAAGTATTTGCTAAAGAAATATTTTTAACGATTGTTGAAGAGAGGAAAAGAAAAGAAGAAACAGAAGAACTGCAAAGGAAATAACAGATTGAAGAACAGAAAAGGAAAGAAGAAACAAAAGAAAAGCAGAGAAAAGAATTAGAAGCACAGCAGAAAAGAGAGCAAATAGAATTTGAATTGAAGAAACTCAGAATTGAATCACGTAATTGACTGACACAAATTCCACTGTCAAATGAAAGTGGACAACGCAACTTCAATTTAATTAAGCTTATTCCTACTATTTAATTAAGCTTATTCCTATTTAATTAAGCTTATTCTTACGTTCATGTTAAGAGACAATGATATTCTGACTTATTTATCCTTATTTGAAAGACAAGCTAAAAGAGCAAAGATTGATCCTAAAGACTGGGTATCATGTTTATTGATTTTAATGCCATCTGAAATCATTCAACTAATTGGGAAAGAATATGAAGAAAATTTTGAGGATTATGAGTACAATTAATGCCATTTTATTCAAGAGATTTAAATTAAATCCTGAAAGCTTTAGAAAATAGTTTGTGATGCACTAAAAGAGCGCTGAAAAATCATGGAGAGATTTTTGCTACGAAATTACAAGTTATTTTGAAGAATGGATCAATGGTCTTGAAATCACAAATTTTGGCCGCGTTAAAAGACTTGATTATTACTGACCAAATTAAGAAAAGAGTACCTATGAAGTAAGAGACCATCTTCTTGACGACTGGGCGAAGTTCGTTTCTCCAACCAAATTAGCTGATAAACTTGACGAATATGACAGTGTTCGTAATACTCTCAAAAAAGACTGGTGGTAATCCATCGAAAGACAAAACTAATAAAAAATGGCAACCTCGTTCTCCACTTCCAGAAAGGAGCTTTCAGAAATAAATCGCTGTCTCTGTTCAGAAACACACCAAGAGTAAACACTTCTCGTAAGAATGACGAGCCACGAAAGCCAATTTTCAAACTATAAAGCTATAATTAATTATAGCTATGTTAAAGCTATAATTGTGGGAAAGAAGGGTCATACATCTAAGTTATGTACCAAAAATCGGATACCAAGAAGTGCTTCCTGCAACAGTACAAAACAATTTAATTCAAACACAAACAGCCCTTGCAGAAAAGGAAAAACCAGAAGTGCTACCTGTCAAGATGTCTATTCCCGTCTCAAAATCCGTGGACATACCTAGCAACATAGATGACTTGAAACTTGTCAAAGTTAAAAGCAGAGATACTGTTCTAAATGGAATCGTAGACACGAGAGCACAAATTTCAGTAGTCCATGCGAGACTGGTCGACGACATATCTTGCGAAGGAGAAAATAAAATAGATATCTTTTCTACTTTTAGTGAGAACAAAATTACTCCACTGAAAACTGATGATAATCTTCATGGCAGTGTACCCATTACCTGTGCTGTTTCAAAAAACTAATTACCGAGTTCTTCAGCTTATGAAACACTCTGTGGAAATATCGAACTGTGGAACTGTGATCGTCATTGGATGCATCCCCTTAGAGTACAAAGAGACAGATGAAACCCTCACCAGTTGAAGACACTTCAGATTTAGCTGTTGTTAATCAGATTTCCCAAAGAGACATAGAAACTATGAAAACAACAGACAAAACAAGACTAGAATTTAGAACACTTCAAGAACAAGATGAGACTTTGAAAAAGTGTTTTGAATGGGCAAATAAAAATCAAAATTCATATACTTTCGATGATGGCATATTACTTCATTCCGAATATATCTTGTGGTGAAAACATTCAGCAAGTTGTGTTACCTTTAGAAAAAAGAAGGGAAGTCCTAAGAATGGCACATGAAATCCCTCTTGCCGGCCACCTCGGTGAGAAAAAGACAATTCAACGAATCAAGTACTCATTCTTTTGGCCTACTATTAAGCAAGATGTTAAAAAATTCTGTGAAAGTTGTAAAGAATGCCAATTGAGGAGAACAGTTACGTACAAAGATCGAATCCCAATTCAACCTATTGTTAGACCGGAAACACCCTTTGAAGTATGGAGCGTGGATTGTATCGGGCCATTAGAACCTCCATCGGAGAGGTCATTGGTTTGTGAGTGTGCAGTTAACCTATGCACCAGATTAGAACCTCCATCGGAGAGTCATCGGTTTGTGATATGTGCAGTTGACCTATGCACCAGATGGGCAGAAGCCACCCCCGTC